ACTTTACCCTCTTTGCTCTGCCCTCTTCTTTCCATTGTTTCTTCCTTTCTTTCTCCCTGACTTCGTCTGGTATGTGGGCACCCCGACCTGACAGACCTACTCACCTACGATACTTTAACAAAGAGCTTAGAGCCCACGGACCGCTCGGACGCACAATGACGAACAGAAAAAAAAGGGGAAGGGCTTAGGAGAACAAATTTTGTTGGCATAACAGTAGAAAGGGACCAGTCGTCGACGTGGAAAGGGCTTGGTACAACCACAGTATCACCGCGTGTACCACCGAACAGTCCGATTCTGTTTCTCTGAATGGAATCATGCATGAACGGTGTATGTAGATAAGGCCCCAGACCTGGAAATAATTTTAGAAATATCTTATTGCAGGTTTATCCAAGGGCTCACAGTTGTTCCTTGAAGGTCCCTATTGTGATAACGCATTAGGCTTGAGTTCTGTGCGTTTTATGTTAATCGGCGTTTGTATCTCGTGTCATCTGTGACAAAAAGGGTTACGCATTGCAATTTAGCTACAGCTTTCCAGTCAACTCATAGTTGTTTTTCTCAGCTGCTTTCCAGTAGTTTTTGGTTTTGCAGTGCTATGCTCCCCAACTGTTCTAGAAACAATGCATAGGAGTACAATGTGTAGTGGAACGGTTAGGGTGCTGAGTTACTCTGAGTCACTCAACTGGGTTACTGGAAAGCAGTTCGGGTTGAAGTTAACTACTCTTTTCGAATAAACCTGCCATTTAAAAACGTATTTTGATAGTTAGTTGCATTATTACTCGAGACTGGCGAAAGTACATTTGATGTGTGAGTTTCTTATTACCTCTGGTGGAATTTGGTTATGAACTCATTATGCTTAATGATGGATGTGCTGATGTGCTGTATCTGGAAGTGAGAACCAAAATGGGCAGAACTCAACGGTGCTTCACTGCAACAAGGAAGTAATGAAGTCCATGACTTTATAAGGCTATATAGAGACCTCAGATCGAACCTGTTCCTAAGCATTTGGGGACTTTCATCTCATTCCAGTGTGCCAAGTAGCTGCATCCACACAATAGAGACATTCAGATGAAAGGACGACGTGAATACAGTTGATAGAATCATTTTATTTCACACCCAAGCAGTCGCGCAGGCTGAAGCCTAAATGCCAGGGCACCGCGGCTGCTATGAGAGGATTAAGGAAACTTTGTTAATATGATTTTTGAACTTCCTAAGGCTAGTAGAACTAGGAAAAGCATCCTCATATAGATTGTTACACAATCTCGATACCCTAGGGACAAATGTGCTGGCGTTCTGAATATTCGAAGTCCACGATTTGGATGGGAGGCCAGTCAGGCGGGTCTGTTTAGCAGGTACATCGTGCGGCAGCATCATAGAGGAGAGCTCTGAGGAGCCAAGCCCGTTGGCGTAGAGATAGAAGAGAGCTAGACCACCAATGACTCGCCCATGCGAAAGGGTTCCGAGACTTTCCGTTATAGAAAAGTTATCCATCAGTCGCACAGCCTTCCTTTGAACAACATCGAGCATGGATAATAGAGCTGCAGCGGCAGGACGCCAAACATGCGGAGTAGTACTCGAGGTTAGGTGTTATCTGAGCCTTGTACAGAGTGAGAAGGTCATCTGGAGAAAAGTAATTCTTATCCTCAAGCAAACAGCATAACTTTTTCCCAGCAGCTGCGCTGTGTTCGTGCCAGATCGAGCCCTCGGTGATCTGGACTCCGACCAGCCAAAATGAACAGCACATTGTTAGAACTCGACCATTCATCGGATTGAGTTGACCGTACAGGAAAGGAGGTCGTTGATATATGAGAGGAAAGGTGTCGGAGCCAAGAACGATTCCTGGGGAACACCCATGTTGACCTTGTGCTATTAACCCGTTAATTACGACGGATACCTTGTGGCGAGAAAGGAAGTTAGCCACCTACCTGCAAAGCTCCTCTAGGAGGCCACAGGATGGAAGTTTGCATAAGAGGCCAGCATGCCACACCTGATCGAATGCTTTCGTGATAGTAAGAGCAACGAGATGAACATCACCATAAGACTGGATGAGTTTACCCCACAGTTGCGTGACATAAGTTAGGAGGTCTCCAGTGGATCGCTGGTGCCGTCTTAAGACAGGGGCTCGTGGGGCCCGGGCTCAGGGCCCCGTCATGATGGGGGCCCCCAAAAGCCAAATGCTTATATGCAATGTCATTTTCAAACTTGAAGAGAACTAAAAATGAATCAAGAACGTCCATGTCACAAGAACGCCTCACCAGTTTGTACCTTATGTCTCTAGAGAGTGACATTTTGCAGCAACTGGAGTTTGACGACGTCATTGAAGATTTTGCCCGAATGCAATCACTGAAAAAGACCATAGTATTGCTTTAAGGCACATTTGTAATCCAGTAAATATGTTTTATTAGAAGTACGCTTGTCGTTTTTGGGGACCCCAAGCTCCTGTGGGCCCAGGGCCCCCGCATGGCTTAAGACGGCTCTGGCCGGAAATCATACTGGCTGTCGCTAATCAAGCCGTGACGTTTGAGATACTTCTGAAGCTCTCAATTTATGTACCTCTCCATCGTCTTACTTAGAAAGCAGAGTATAGGCCTGTAGTTGTGATTGTCGATCTTAGATCTTTTTTTGGAATCGGTGGGACTTAAGCAAATTTCCTGTTTTCTGGGAAAGTGTCAGATTCGTAAGATATCTGGGAGAGACGCTAAAGAACTGTAGCAAGTTCCGATGCACATCTTTTCAATACAAAAGCACGAATCCAGTCCCGTCCAGAAGCGTTGTTGATGTAAAGTGACCAGAGCACCCGTCTTAGGTTCCCGCAACCCTTAGAAGAACGTTGAGATCTGATTAAATTCAACTTTGAATGCTATAGCATCACCCTGTACGATGTCCGTCGCCGCTCCGCGAGCGCACCTATGCCGCACACCGCACAGGTACTGCCGCAGCCGATGCGCGTTTAGGGCCCCGCGCGACGCTCGACGCACCGCGTTTGGCGGCGGCGGCGGGCCATGACTGTTTCCATCCCACCTTCAGTCAGCAGTCCACTGTTGCACGTCAGTGTTACCGCTGCTCGTACCACGATCGACGCGCGTCCTCTCTCTGTCACCTGCCCGACGCCCGTGTAAACAAGCGAGCCCTACCGCGATCAACAAGTGACAATCGCCGATACGCAAGTCGTACCTTCGCGCGTGTATCCGGCGCGAAGGACCATCTCTTGCCGATCATTCCGGTTATTTCAGCGGATCCTGAATCGGTGCAAAGTGACGTAGTAGTTCCCACGTGGTTTGATTTGCGCAAGGATTGTGGCACATTAGCGGAAAGTGCAAAAGCTCAGCTTCAATCAGAATATTCATCAGCCTATTTATAGTTATCACGTTAGGACATTGGAAAGCTTCACAGGAATACAGGTCTGATCAAGCCTTCCTAGTCGAGAAGTGCAGAAGAGGTTTGGATTGTCTAAATTACGTGTATATCTCATATACGTTGAAACTGACACTTCTAAGGAGTCGAAGCAATCTGACATGGCACTGTATTGATCCCACCAACTGTGTTCAACGTTTCATAGTAGATGCCTCATCTCGCACAGCCATTCGGAAGTACTACTAACAGTGACAGTCTTAAAATAGAATAGTGGTTCGACTTCAAAAGCAACAGAAGGAAGGTATGCTTGTTAAGTGTCCCCAGTAACAGTACCTCATATAAGGTGTATACGTACCCTAAGCTTGCGTGGTGTAATCGTCGCCTTCTCGTGTGTTATCTACGTTATGAGGATCTGGAAAACCGTGCCGAACTTTGAAAAAATCCCAGATAAACAGTAGGAGGACTGTTTGTAGAAGGTAAACAGAGGTGTCGTAATAAGAACAACTGACAAACATTCTCGTGTGATGCAACCGAACTGATATGTCGATACAGTGGTAATAACGCGATCTAATAACGAGTGGTGCTGAAGATGGCTTCAGACGAGGATTGTAACAACACCTTTTCATATCCGTAAGTCTAACATTTATTATACGATATTGCGGTACTTATTGAGCTGCCATCAGAAAGAGTGACATTCAAAAGCTAACGATGTTTGCTACCGGTATGTAATTTTTAACCCTCCAGTCCACTATTATCAGCAACAGGTGGAATAATTATATTTGAAAGAACAATGAATATGATTCACGAAACCGCCAAATAAATGCTGACGTTCGAATTGGCAAGGATGTAACGTGCACAGTTATATTCTTTACTCATTTCATGCGAGTTTCGCCTCTTGGAAATATTAAAGGTAATAAAAACCTCAATGAATTAGCGACTTTTCATTTTGTTAATAGTAGCGATGTGAAGAGTTTTCCATGAAATCCAGAGTGGTGATAATCTCACACTTCTATTGCCCCGAGTAAAATTTGGCAGGTGGCTGTAGACTTGTTGATGCCGATATAGAAGTTATACAATTTCCTATAAGTGGTGCGCGTATAATCCGACAGTTACAGGATTCATTGATAACTGCAGTCTACTCATATCAGCACGTACAACAATTTATTGATAAGCACTACTTTTAAGATTATCATACAACTTGGAAACAAGTTAAAAGAATTAAGTTGATCGTCAGAATATTAATCTCGAACATCTAATTGGCCCATGATGTTGTAGATTTTAGAAAACCCCAGCATATGCCATGCTGAAGAGTTACCAAATAGCAACAGCTGTTTATCGTTGGCCGTCTGTGGTCGTACCTACGAAAGATATATCACTAGAAAAAGCTTAGTTAATTAAAGCTAGTATAATGATGGAGCTTTGAATATCACTAACAGAAGTCGGACACCGGCATGTCACATTCTGAGCCACCGATTCACAGCATTTATGAGTAGAAGCTACTTTTAAAAGCTACTCCCAGATATACACATTCTGAAGAACACATTTATAATATAATGAGTCTAACTCAGTTCAAAATGGATGGTATTTCTAACAATTTGTTAGTTACTGCTGTAAATTTTATTGTCTATACGCTTACACATCTTGTCAACATGTGGTTGCAGGCATTTTCCCCAAAATTTTTAAAACCCCGCGTGGTGCCAATTTTTAAAAATGGTGAGAAGGATGAGATAAGCAACTATAGAACATTATCTATTCTGAGTGCAGTCTTGAAGATTTTAGAGCGAGCTATATTTGAAAAAATAATAGCCTTCCTCAAGGAAAAAGATATTTTGGCACACTGTCAACATGGCTCTAGGAAACAAAGGAATGTTCAAACGGCTATTCTGCAGTTCATTAGCAAATTGTATGAATGTTTAGATAAGGAAGAAAAGAGCATAGGACTGTTTATGGACCTGAGTTAGGCATTTGATATAGTCAGTCATCAAATTTTAAGTTCTAAGCTATATAATTATGGATTACGTGGAAAAATACACGATTGGGTCATGTCATATCTTGCTCTAAGGGAGAAGACTGTGGATGTTGATTGATGTTATTCTTTACAGCGAAATGTCCAGATCGGTGTACCTCAGTGCTCGAACCTAGGCCCATTACTTTTTTTGCTATTTGTTAACGACTTGCCAGGAGTATGTAGCATCACGGATGAATTGGTTATGTATGCTGACGATAACACCTACCTGTGTTTTGAAAGCAATATAAAGTCATGCATTGATAAACTACAATGCACAATAAATAAATTTACAATCTATTTTTCTAGCAATCAATTGTCACTGAACGCAAAAAAGACTGTCTTCATGAATTTTACTCCTCGTCCCAGCACAATCAATGAGAGCCAACTAGTCAAGATTAATGGCAAGCCGTTGATTCAAGTAGCAAATACAAAATTTCTAGGAATTCATCTTGATACAGCTCTTCAGTAGGAGCACGACATAAGCAAACTGTATGAAAGCTTGTCATCTGTTTGTTTTGCAATCTGGAGGCTCCGACAAGTATGTACAGAGAAAGTTATAATTTCGTATTGTCATGCACAGTTTGCTTCTAGAGTAAAATGTGGCATTATTTTTTGGGGAACATCAAGTCATGTGCAAAGGGTTCTTATATTACAGAAAAGGGCATTGAGAACAATAGCTGGTGTAGCACCGCGTACATCGTGCAAAGAACTTTACAAAAAGTACAGTATGGTGACAGTTCCAAATATTATGATAGTAGAACTATTAGTGCACTTAAAACCAAATTTATGTAACTTTCTAGTGAATTCAGATTTTCGTACGTATAACACTCGCAATAATACTGCAATAGTCATCCCCGCACATCATTCGTCCAATTTTGAAAGTCCCAACTACCTCGGCTTGAAACGGTTCAATAAATTAGAAGATTATACCAAAGATATTAATGATCTGGGCATGTACAAAAAGACGCTGACCAACTACTTCCTGAATAACCCTTTCTATAGTGTGTCAGAGTATCTGGAAGGTGGTTAAACCTCTTCTGCAATGTTTTGTATTCTGAGGTAGCCTGTAGTCATGATTATAAATATGTATATGTATACTCTTCTGTAAAATTATAAATATGCATACTATCCTTTGAGTGTGCATCGACGTTTCCTATGCCATGTATTTGGTCGATTGAAATAAATTGATTATTATTATTATTATTATTATTATTACTATTATTATTATTACAATCATGTTGCTGACATAAAATAGCTTGTTGATATCAAATATGAACCAGTTAAGCATAACTGGTAAAACTTTCTCTTGGTAGATAGTTTAACATTATATGCATCCTGCAATAAACAGGTGATAAATTCTACTGAATAAAATGTGCTGGAAGAGGGCTCAGAAGAGCGGGTTCTATTAGCATGTCAGAAGGAGCGCGGAAAATGCATATCACCAACCGTTTGTAAGGACGGAAATTAACATGCCTGGCTGAAAGACCATTACCGACAGGTGATTGCGCTTCTCTGAACAATATTTATGTGTGGACAACCACAACACAGGGTTTCTCTGTCTAGAGTAGAGGATTTGGAGGGTGAAGAGTATTCCCTTGCTATAAATTGATAATCTTGTTTTCCAATGTGCGTGCTGCAATTGATAATTCAGATTTTTACAAAGTCATGATAAATAAGGGTATATAGGATTTTCGAGACGTGGCGTGAAGTAGGTTGCGTCTGCACCTCGCACGCAACGCCGTCATCGCGGCAGCGCGGCAGTAATACCAGAACACTTACAAAAGCAAACGCGTATCGAAAACACGTCTCCGCTATTTTAAGTATTAACTGACATCCTATAATCCATAATCCTTCAACCCCCCATACAACCCTACACCCCCTAATTTTATAACCCTGAAATGAAAAACACAATTTTAGCGATTGTTGGCCTTTGCCTTCGCAGCCACTGGATCGATTTTCTAAAGCTGTTTCGACATTGACATAGTAGTAACCTTGTCTAAAAATGTCTTATAAATCCTAGCAGTACTTTCCAAGTTATAGATATATTAGCGGACAGACAGAGAGACCGACAAGAATGAGTGTACAGGTCATATAATATCAAAAAAAGTATCTCATATCTCATTTTAAAATTTTTTCGCGGCTACAATACTTCCTAGCTAGTAGCCGCGAAAAGAAAATACAGGTCTTGTCGCTTAAGATTCTTTATCTGTGTGATATTTCAAATAGCGGGGTGCATTTTTTTAAAGTGATTGCAGTTTTCAGAAGAGCATCGAGTGCCTAAACCTGATACTTCGAAAACATTCTTTTTCGGTCAAATTTTACAAAATCACAGAAAAACACTAATCTTGTACCCTCTGATAAGGTTAGTTTCTTGTAGTATAACTCATTTTATCGGTAAATAATGTAGATGTAGATACACTACCGTCTTATATTAGCTTACTATGATTTTAATCAATTACGAGGAGCTTAGGGTTACTTAAAATGGAACGTACCAACTCTGGTGTATAACAAGATTTATCAGGTCATGCTCAGCTACTATACCAGCATGGGTATCATGTAAAAAACTTATAAAACGTCAAAAAAAACCTATAAGATGTCATATTGCAAACTAGGTAGTTTTTAGGGCGCAAACAGTCATTCCACGTTTGCTCACTAGGATCGTTGTGTACGTCCATCTAAGGAGGAATCACTCAACTAAACTAAATGCATTATGGGTTAATGGTTCTTGTCTGTAGTTTTTATCTCTGAGAAAAAAGTTGGTTGAATAGCAAGATCACATCTGGATGATTATGTGTATTGGTCTGCGTATGTATAAAATCAGTGATATTTGCTGTGTGAGAAAATAATTACTGAAAAAGCTGCCAATAAAGTATACCTATTGGCTGTGCCCGACGGGTTATTTTTATGTTGTGCTTTCTGAAGAGAGGTTATGTTCAAAATTATAAATTACGAATAACTAGTGGAATTACGGGAAATTATCACCGCGCCCGCGTTGTGTGTAATTACTGTTAGCATGTATATGGCTTGTAACTCGGCAGTGTACAGTGAATATAATTATTACTTATCTCTCTCATTTTTGAAATTCAGCAAGTTTGTATATGTAATTTCCAGAATGGATAAGAAAAAGTGAATGCGCAACTAGCTTTGAATCTCAGTTAAGTGTATTTGAGACATGAACAAAATATAATTATCATCAACACATACAACTTACAGCTTCGACCTCCAGTAATGCCATCTCAGAAGCAGATTTTACATCACATCAAAGCCAAAGATCAATAACAAGTCTCACGACGTTTAGGCAACACGTACAACTAAGTGGTAAGTTAATATCTTGTAGAAAAACCTGCATAATGTCAAAAAAAATCAGCATAATGTAAAAAAATCGGCATAATATCACTTTTCAAGATACGTGATACCCGTGCAGGTACGATACAAATATGTCAAGTGATCACCTAATTGCTCTGGATCTGCCACAATACCATGACATTTAATAACAGATAACAGAAGTGACGTCACTATAACTGTGGATCAGCTTTCTTGGAGCCAAATAGGTCATGTCAACATTTTCTTCAAAATATGTTTCCTTCAAAACAGATGCAAAACCAAAAAAAAATGCATTATCGTCATTGCTTTAAAATTGCTAAAAATTCCGGCTGTTCTGCATTTATTTACGAGTTTGATATTCAGCAAGAGTTATTATATATTATATGGCAAGTAGTATCGATTTCATGAAAATCCTTTGACATGATTGTCTCATATTATTTTGAAGTTTTTGACTTTCATCTCATTGATGATGACCGATACGAGCAACTGGAGTACTGTACCGTCTAGTCTGCCAGAGTGCATCCTCATTTGCTTCTTTATCTTTTCCATAATCTATGTCGCAGATATCAGCACTTCTTCAAATATTGCAACTAAACTGAGATAAGGAGGTTGTTTGTACAGGCTCAACTAAGAAAAATATGTTCAAAGTAAAGGGATTCTTTGAAATATGATCTTGTTTGAAATGTACTAAATTTTGTTACATAGATAAGTTACTATCTAATGTTTATCTCCTTGCTATTTTTATATCTGTTTGATAGCTGCTGAACCGCTTCAATCCGGAAACAGAAGTCAGAAGTAGACTATTTCTTAGACGAATATTATTCCATACTGGTCCCGATATCTTATTTGATTCAATCTAGTCTCATGACAGATCTTCCATAGTATCTAATAAGAGCGTGAGCAAGCATCCTGTCGGGATTTTAGCTTAGCTTTGATAAGAAGGCCAACCAAGTACTCTATACCGCGTTCAACAAGCTTCCGACTTTGAAATTATTCAGGAAGTGGGATTCTCAAAACTGAGAGGACTAGCAGAGACCTCTGACGAGAGAACTAGAGGTTATCACTGGTTGGGGACTCAACAATCTTGTACAGTTGTATGTCTCCAAAACACAGTTCTGTACCTTGACGAACAAACAGCGCCCATCTTTTTTCGATTACTATATAATGTAATGAAACTAACGCCAACTACAGAGAATACCGACTGCTACAACCAATATAAAAATAAATTTATAGAGCTTGTAAGGCAAACCAAACGAAAACATTACCTAAATGAATTGAATAATAACTTAAATGATCCTAAGCGGCTTTGGACAACTATTGATGAGATTACTGGGAAAACAAAAGTTAAAGAGTGTGTCACTGAGTTAAATTCAACATGGGGAACAGTATTAAAAAATACTCAACAGATATGCGGTGAATTTGTACAATTCTTTACTGACATAGGCGAAAATTTAGCAAGTAATATACAAGCAAATGTACAAAATACTCAGCCTCCAAAAAGAACTTTGAACTCATTTATTTTGGATAATGTCGAGCAATGTGAAGTATACACCACTGTTATGTCCTTAAAAAATCGGAAATGTCCTGGGTTCGATGGTATTAAAAGCGAGCATTTGAAAATTATAGCCG